GTAGGGTAGCACTGCAATAGTGCAGGAGCTAATATATCTATTTTTTTCGACTTAGTTGTCACTCTGGTATGCCAAAGTCAGCAGACGGTGCTGTAATATCTGCTGATTCAAAGTCAGCCCTCATCAGGTGATGATGGAGTCATTGTTTTGGTTTTAATTTGGCTGTATTTTGTTTGCTGATGACTTGATCCTAACGTTTCATGGCGGACAGCAAATTTTATATTGATATTGAGTTCCGGTTGAAAGAACAGAGAATCCAAAAATGCAAAAATAAAACGAAGCGGCTATACTTTTTACTCTTTAACCCCTATGAGGGAAAGCGGTTACTACAGTGGACAGCTTATGTGATTAGGATGCAGGTTATCATTATTGGTGCATGTTAAAGGTTCCATATCTGGTGAATCCAACGACGTTTGTTTTAACCATGTTGTATTTTCATACAACCACAGTTTTATAGACCATAAAGATGAACCATGTCTTCAATTGTTAGATAAGAGGACCCATTAAAATTTGGTTTAGTGACTCAAAAAGGCCATTTGGTGCTAAAATTGGAGAGTTGAGTGTCATTTTTTTTTGTTTTGTGCGAGTTTTTTGTTTTTTTTTTTAATGGCAGTTATTGCTTCTTGTGGTGCCATGTTGACCCCGATGACAAATTTTAAATCGTAGTGAAACCTTTCTGTCCTTATATTCCCACTATGGTTTATCACCAGACTAAATAAAACCCAAATCAAATGCTCTACATGCATAAAAAACACTTGTATTTAACCCTTTCATTCACCCTGTACATAAGCCGTCCACTGTCGTCACCGTTGTCCCTGAAAGAGTGAAATGTCGGTGTCTTATCAGAGCAATTTAATGTCATCGTTAGGTCCTTTGAAACCCCTCCATGTTCATTAAGAAAAGGCCTTCAGTGTCTTTGTTTCGTTTGCAACTCATTTCGTTTCACTGCTGTGCACTTTGAATCAAAACCAAAACCATAAGGTCACTTTCTGTTTACTTTGCTCAAACCAGCGGCTCTTCCCATATATATTAATTAATTTATTTATTTTACTCTCACTTCCAAACGCACCAATTTTGAAAATAAAAACAGGAACATCGGGCTAAAAGCCAGCATAAAACTGAAAACGGAGGATACATTCACCTCCAGCTTTGATGAGCCAGATGACAGTGAAATTTAATTTCTTTGAAACCATTCGATTCAATCCAGTGAGAGCGCAACAGGATGTCGAGCGCGCCGTTTCGACTTTGTATTCGATGGGTCAGCATTTCGACCTTGCGCAATACACAGCGTGTTGGAATTGGCGCAATGTGTCGTTGATGCCACAATCAAACCAAAATGGTTTCATCGATATTAGCCTTTTCGCAGTCAGAGGAAGACATGACTCACCAAATTCATTCTTTTCTCCCGAGGGACGCCTTGTTCGGCCTTCACTTGCTGCTTGATTTCCAAGTCTTCACTTTGGGCTTCAATATGTGAAAAGAATACTTTGCTAGCTTGATATCAGGTGACAAAACGGCTAGCTAGCAAGCCATGCTTAGTTGAGTTTCCAAGAATCGGGTGTCTGTGGTCCCACAAAATTGTTGTTTTTTTAAAGCTTTTTACAACCTGTCCCACATATCTGACACCCCCCCCCCCCGAAAAATTTCCATCCTCTTAATCAATTCATAAATCCGTCAAAGGTTCGCATCTATGAGTTAGCCTGAATTTCGATAGTTGAGTTGAACCCAGAATTTGTTGGAGCCACCGCTATTCAATTACACCGCACGTGCGCTGGTGCGTTTGCACGTCTGTACAGACAACTTGGTGTGTATTAGTACTTGTGTGTTCAAGCAAGGATGTGTCTCTTCAGTTTATGGTCAAAACGTTTGAGCCGTAGCATGGGTGACGTGACGGGAAAATGCAAATAAAGAGCGATACTTTGAGCCGCAGATGTACAAATCATTTCAACGTGAGCGTATTGTTCCCGCTCGACCCTCACAAAGTCGACATGTGATTCAATCGATTCAATGTTTGTCTTTTAAAAAAAGAAAAAGTATTTTCACAGTTGAACCTGTGAAGCCGTGACCCATGTCATTGTTGTACATGAGAAAACGCACAGCGATTTGTAAATAAGACAAATGATGTAAATAAGAACATTGGACTTGGAATCCATTTCTGAGCTGTATTTCATGTGGTACAGTATTAAAAATATATTTCTATGCTGTGATATCTGATGAACTGGTGAGTTGTTCCCTTTCCGTTTCAACCCGCATCCACGCCAGTGTTGTTTTGAACAATTATATCGCCGTCAGAAAAACTCACAAAACACGTTTTGTTTTTTTGTTTTTTGAGTCTGTTTTTGTTTAAGTAGAGTTGAGTAGAATTCGGGTTGAATTGATTATCGCCGATTGGAGAGTCACGTTTTTTTTTAACAAGTCAAATCTGAAAACTATAAATGATGTAAGTTCAGATCAATAATGAGACAAGTATCATTTCTCTTTTTGCAGAGCTTGAAAAAAATAAAAAAATGCTTTTTAAGATCATATCCCCTGACATTCATGAGACAGAAAATGTTACAATGGCAAGAGAATGAAAGCTCCATTTGAAAAACTTTCCACCCGTGGTACGTGTGCTTCTTCCTCTGTGGGCTGCAGGTGTCTGCGGCGGGGAACTCCCAGATTTCAGTGGGACTAACCCCTTCGCTATTTCCACCCTTGACGAACCAACTCTGGTGCATCATGTCTCAGTATAAACAGCGTACAAAAGGTTCAAATCACAATAATAACGAAAAAAAAAAGGTATTTTCAGCACATAGTGAATGCATAATTTCTAATTCTCATAAATGATAGCACACAGGAGGTTTTTAATGGATCAACGGTTTTGTTTGAGGTGCCGCGAGTACGGCAGACACAGTAGATACCAGTCAGAACACCCTATTTGAGTGACGCAGCTATTTTGACCATACCGAGTAGGCAGAATATGTCATCAAAGCTTCTTTGGTGTGTGACAAATCCACCCACTTTATCCGCACGAATCTAAAACGAGACTGGATCTGATCACAGTATTCACAGTCAATTGCGGCAGTCCGTTCTCCCTTGCGCTGGTTGCGCAAGATCACCCACGTGGCTCTGAAAACAGGGAGAGGAAATTTGAGAAGGCAAACTCATCGGCGACATGTACATACTGAAGTATCAGTGAGTGCGGTGAAACCACAAGCGCTGACGTGTTGTAATGAGACACCGGATAGTGAAGCAACCGTCCTTGGATGTTTTTTTTTTTTTTGTCTGAATTCTTGGACATGTGTTCATCTGCAGTATGTACGGTATAGCAATATTTGGTTTGCATACTGAATATTTCCAGATATGTACTACTTGCCACAGCACTGCTGATGGTGGCAGTATATCATATCCTGACTGACAGCATCGTGTTTTAGTTTGTTTGCGACATTAAATACTTGTTACAGTTGACCATTCTTGCTGTTGTTCATATTTTGGACTGAAAATTTGGGTTTGCCATGAAAAGGTGAGTATGAGCCGAGATCAACATTTTGTTGTAATTGGGGGGGGGGAAAAAAATCATTGAGACAAAATATTTTTTTCACGTGAAAAATTACAAACCGTCATTTAAATTATATTTATGCTGATTAATATATCACTATTATGTGTAGATTTGTAAGTGTATATGTATATGTGTATATATATAAGGTGGCCAAAGGAAGAGATTCAGACCACGGACGTTAAGACCCGAAAGCTCCGAACCATGCATGGAGGGTTCCATCCCATATCCAG